GTGTGCGTACGAGACTTTTATATAAGTTAAATAAACATTTCCTGTCGCTACCCCATGTAGTGCGTGACAACACTTTCAAAATGTTCATTGTTTTTAAGCACCTGTCCCTTAAATACTTGATGTGTGGGATGAAGGTTAGCTTAGTGTCTAATATGAAACCAAGAAACTTGTGCTCGGTCTTCACTGACAGAGGTTGACCATGCAGGTCAATGTCGGGGTCAGGATGGAGGCCCCTCTTTCGGCTGAACAAGACACAAGTGCTCTTTTGCGCGTTGAGTATAAAACCATTCTCGTTTGCCCATTGAGATACCTTGTTCAACCCTAGTTGAACTTGACGTTGGCACATTGAGATGTTGCAAGATTTGTAACCAATCTGCACATCATCGACATATATGCAGTAAAAAATATTTCGTGGGAGAGACAGGTGCAAGGAATTCATTTTAACTATGAAAAGTGTACAGCTCAATACACCTCCTTGTGGCACTCCTGTTTCTTGGACAAATACTCGAGATAAGACGGTGCCAATTTGGACACGGAATGTACGGTTGGACAGGTAGCTTTCGATAACTGTCAGCATTCTACCCCGCACACCTAAATGTGACAGGTCTCGCAATATGCCGAAGCGCCATGCAGTGTCATATGCCTTTTCCATATCGAGGAACACAGACAGAAAAAAGTGCTTATGAACAAAAGCATCGCGAATTTGTGCTTCGATACGGACAAGGTGGTCAGTGGTGGACCGAGCCTCTCGAAACCCACACTGGTATGGGTCAAGTAGGCCACTAATTTCAAGGAAGTGCATCAGGCGCCTGTTAATCATTTTTTCAAAGACTTTGCAAATACAGCTGGTTAATGCAATTGGCCTGTAGCTGGAAACTGAGGCCGGGTCCTTGCCTTGTTTTAGAATCGGGATAATAATAGCTTCCTTCCAGGCTGAGGGTAGCTCGCCAGAAGACCATATCGCATTATAGAGAGAGAGGAGAGCTTTCTGGGTTTCAGTGGGCAGGTGTTTCAACATTTCATATGCCACACGGTCCGGGCCTGGGGCAGATTTATTGCAACAGGCAAGTGAGGCCTGCAGTTCAGCGAAACAGAAAGGTTCGTTGTATGCCTCATGTGTTCTGGGCTTGCGCTCTAATCTCTGTTTTTCTATTGCGGTTTTATATCGTCGGAACGCTTCACTATAGTGTGTTGAGCTGGAGACCTGTTCAAAGTGTGCTCCGAGAGTGTTTGCCTGGTCTTCCAAACTCTCCCCTTGGGGGTTCACTAGAGGAAGCGAATGTGCTCCTCGTCCTGCCACCTTACCAACCATACTCCAGACTCTCGACTCATCTGTGTATGAGTTAATGCCCGACACAAATTTGTGCCAACTTTCTCTTTTCGCCCGTCGGCGCGTCCTCCTTGCTTGCGACTTGACGTTTTTAAAGTTTACAAGATTCTCGGCTGTGGGCGAGTCTCTAAGCAACCTCCATGCCTTATTTTGTTTTTTTCGAGCATCACGGCACTCATTATTCCACCATGGTACTCGTCGTTTGCTTGACAGTCCACATGTTTGGGGAATACATTTTGTTGCTGCATCAACCAAGAAAGCTGTGAAGTAGCATACAGCATCCTCTATGCTCAATGCCGCCATGTCAGTCCAAGATAATAAAGTCATTTTTTGAAACTTTTCCCAATTGGCTTTGTCGGTGAGCCATTTGGGAACTTGGAAGGACATGTATTTGTTATTGATGTGCTAATAACGATAGGAAAATGGTCACTACCATATGGATCATTAATGACTTCCCCTTTAAGTAGAGGCAGGAGTGATGGGGATATTATGCGGAGGTCTATTGCTGAGTACGTATTGTTAGCGATGTTGTAATATGTTGGCTCTTTCCGATTCAGCAGGCACGCACCGGAAGAAAACAGGACCTGTTCAATCAGGCGACCTCGAGCATCGCAGCGAGAGTCACCCCATAGATTGCTATGTGCATTGAAATCTCCAAGGAGGATATAAGGTTCTGGAAGTTCCTCTATGAGGGACTCGAGTTCATGCTTTTCAAGACGGTGTTGCGGAGGTATGTAGAGAGAGCAGATGGTGACGAGCTTATTCAAAAGAACTGCTCGAACAGCCACCGCCTCGAGGGATGTTTGTAGTGGTAGGTGTGTGCGTGCAAAACCCCTTGATTGACTATAATGGCAACACCACCGGATGGCACAATGGCATCATTCCGGTCTTTCCGAAAGATAACGTAATGACGTAAAAAGTTGGTGTGTTTAGGTTTCAGGTGTGTCTCTTGTACGCACAGCACCTTAGGTGTATGTTGGTGTAAAAGTTCATGGATATCGTCGAGGTTTCTTAACAGTCCTCTGACGTTCCACTGTAGTATTTGTGTCATTTTAATGTAGTGTGGTGCTGTGTGTACAGAGGTGTTGCGTTAGTTTACAGGGCCTTTTGAGGGCCCCGTGATTCGAGGTTTTCCTTTTTTGGCGCGCTATAAGGAGTTGCGCCTATCCTTCGGCGTCTGAGGCGCCGGAGGAGTGGGACTTGTATCCATCACCTCTTGTGAGGTGGTGGATGGTGCCTGCTGGGCAGGCACATTCACTGAACTTTTGGACCTAACTGCGCCTGCAGTGGTCCCAGGTTCGGCAGACACCGGGGTCTGCCGGCCCTGTTTGTCAGGTGGCGGAGCAGTACAGGCTGCTCCAGCCGGGGGCGCTGGTGGCACGACCGCGGCCACACACTGTGTGACATTCGCGGGTGCCGAGGCATGTGGCGCGGCGCCCCGGCGCGTCACATCTGCAAAGGAGGGATAAGACGGGTTGTGTATTGCGAAACGTTGGCGTGCTTCTTGGAATGTGAGATTGAATTTAACCTTGAGTTCTACTATTTGTTTTTCTTTTTTCCATGCGGGGCATGATCGTGAGTAGGCAGCGTGATCTCCTTCACAGTTCGAACAATGAGATGTTTCTGAGGTGCAGTTGTCTGATATGTGTTGAATGGATGCGCACTTTGCGCAAGTGGCACGCCCTCTGCAACTCTGCGATCCATGACCGAAACGTTGGCACTTGAAACATCGACGAGGGTTGGGAATGTATGGTCTTACACGAAGCTTACAATAGCCGGTTTCGATTGATTCTGGTAGGTCACTTGTTCCGAAGGTAATTATTACGTGTTTTGTAGGGGTAAGTTTGTTGTTGCGCCTTATTGTTATTCGTTGGACTTTGACCACGTTCTGGTCCTGCCAACCTTCGAGCAGCTCACTTTCAGAAAGCTCAGTAAGGTCATCATCAGAAACTACGCCACGGACAGTGTTCATGGACCTGTGTGGGCCCACCGAAACAGGGGTTTCCCCAAAGGCTACAAGCTTAGACAGCTTTTCATACTGGGCTTTGTCACGTACCTCCAAAAGAAGATCACCACTTCCCATCTTTGTCACTTTATAACCTGGGCCTATTGCTTCTGTGAGAGTTTTGGAAACGAGGAAAGGTGAAATGGCTCGGACTGTCTTGTTTTCGTTTTGACTGTGGATTACATGGTACTTTGGGAATGTCGGCTTTGGTGTGTTTAGCAGGAAAGTATCATCGGTGCGCCACCTTTTTAGGGAGCGATCAGGAAGGAGGGGAAAAGCTTTTGCCATAAAAATACTATAAAATTCGGCGGCGATGGTGGCCACCCACCACCGAGCCCAACAAGGGGACGCTACAAGGTTGACTAGTGGACACTTGCAGACGCCAGCCATGCATCGCCGCTATAACCGAATATAACTACCCAAGGTTGGGTAACTACACAGGGTTAACCCTCGCCGCCAGGAAATTCGGAAGTAAACGGAAAAGAGAAGATGACAGGACAGATAAAAAGAGAGAGATACAGACGAAGATGTAGGAAGAGAGAGATAGGAAAAGGCGACTGCCGATTTCCCCTGGATGGGTCAGCCCAGGGGTGCCGTCTACGTGAAGCCGGGGCCAAAGGGGTGTGTTGCCTCTGCCGGGGGGCCTTAAAGGTCCAATCATCACCCAGCGTCGGCTCAACCCCCAGGATCCCCTTTTCCCCGGACACGGCAAAGCCACGCACGGCTAGGCGTGGGAGGGAGTCAAAACTTCCCCGTTAGCTCGGGTCCGTGGTGTCGCTACACACCAAACGCCTACTTGCGCAGGCGCCCCTGCGGGGGGCAAATAATGATCGTAAAATATTGTATGAACATTACTGGAATGTTTATCTGTTATGTTGATTCTTCGTGCAATTTTGATATTTTTTAATGTTTGAAATATAACACTCAATGTTCAATGTTTTGTTTGAATGTTGCACTAATGTTCCACATTCAACGTTATTTTAACAGTGTACTTCTAAAATATATTTAATGTTTTACATGCAACAAAGAACGTTATATGTTTCATGTAGAAAGTTCAGACAATGTTGTTTGAAAACGGTTCTACAACATTCACAACAAAAATACAACGTTACTTCAATGTTTTGTGCTACCTGGGACGGCTGTGGAGAACGTGAGTAATTTGCTCACCCTACACGTTTTCAACGGCCCGTATCCGACGCTTTCACCGTTCTGCTTCGCGAAATCTGCAAAAAATCAGTAAATATAAAATCCTTTACGTTCGTAGCAATTCAAACGCAACAATAGCATTGACTGGTGTCTTTTTTTTTGTAGAGCGCGGAGTTGTTGCATTTGCTTTTGTTTTCGCCGTCGTTCAGGTGAAATAACCAGCAGGCACTTCACGGCCGTTCAGCAACGCGTCCAACTAGCGGAGAGAAATTTGTAATTCTTTTCGTGAGTGTTCAATGCGCAAAGACATACAATATTTAGCTCAGTCCTCGTTCCGCAGCAAACTGTGCAAGGGAGTCGGGTTTTGCACTACACAAAACAACTTTGACAGGTGGCTCTGCGTGTCCACAAAACACCAGGGTCTGACGTCTATGGCAGCTCAAGGATCCCCCATTTTTGAAGCTGCATCACTGAGTCAATCATCCAAATGTTTTTGCATCGAACTGTTGTGAGCTTTATTCACACTTTTATTCGAAGGCTTGCATCGGTCAAGGAGCGATGTGCCGTGGAGGGTTGAATGAAAGTTCCCTGAAGCTGCTTTGGGTACAGGGAAGCAGTCTCGATGGGTGGAAGACCAAAGAGCTCTGCCTTGAACTCAAGAAGCAAGGCGATGTAGGTGGTGGTCTGACGCCGGTGTTCTTCGTCGATGCGGGGATCGGCAACTATGACGACTTGCATTCCAGCAGCTAAGGCAACGATGACACCCTTCACCGCATATTCAAACACGCGTACCTGTACAAACATGGTGTACCGCTTCGCAATACACAATTTGTGCCCTTCAATCCTGTCCCATAAATACAAACTACGCAACAGGATGGTCAGACAAAGACATGAGAAGCCGGAGGCCCCAATGAAGCTAGCCAATATCCACGCCAAATTGAGTCCATTTGTCAAAGCGATACGCTGTTCCCAGGATATGAGGTATGTCTCTGCCGAATGTGCGCGTTTCTGTTGGTTACCTTTTGCGATGGTGGTTTCTCGTCCAACTTAGAAGCGGCGGTGAGAAAGATATCTGGGAGTGGTTTTCTGTGCTTAACTTGGTTTCCACAGCCGACCACGTGATGAAAGGAGGGCAGCAGTTCGACGTGGTGCGTCGCTTGGAGCCGATCGCAATGGCCATAGGCATGACATGCGCATCTAGGTGGCGCACCAGCCTTTCGGCACCAACAAAGCACGCATAAGGTGGTATATAACTGCGATGTTCCACACAACAATGGTATACTTTATTGCGATAGCAAATATATGGACACTCGGCTAAGTTTCGCAACCCGCGTCGGCACCGACGTTCATGTCATGCACCGTATATGTATACGTATCTATCTATATATATAAACGCAAGAAAAAATCACAGAAAAAAAAACTCCGGCGCGCGGAATCGAACGCTGGACCTCCACGTCATGAATGCGAGGCGTTAACCACTGAGCCACCAAATTTTTTTCTTTATTACCTGTTCTTCTTTACAGGTGTTTACACAGAAACATGAATGATAAAATACACTTGGACCAAAATTTGATCCGAAGTGCTCACATTAAAATTTTTTCAGGTTGCACAATTCCCCTAACATTGTTAGCCAGCTCGGAGGTTCTTCTTGTTGTTTATACACCTCAGTGATATACCGCATATTTGCAATGAAGTTCTCCCGGACAGGACGTATGTTCTGGTCAAGATGTCTGTAAGCCATTGTGGTCTGCCAGATGCTGTGAAGGCTAATTAACATAACCATGTCGTATGGTATGCCGTCGTCATCATCTACACAGAGAAAACGAATGCCATGGCTTGTAATGGGGAGATCTTTTTTCAATGTTCTTTGAATGATGATATATGGTGTTTTTTGGCGCAAGGGCCATTTGATGGCCAAAGAGCGCCAGTTCATGGGACAAGGAATGTGGACAATGATTGTGATTAGCGGCTGTATAAGGGCCATCAAATTCCTCGCGGTAAGGCGGGTAAGAACATACAAGTAATAAAATGACGACCATGCCGTGAAAGGTGTGTGTGGTGCGAATAGATGACAAAAGTTAGTGATAATAAAAACAATGGTGGACATGTATGGCATTAGCACAAGTGCCTCACTCGTTCATACCCTTGCGTCCGAGGACCGTGAGGCAAGTGCTTTGTTGTGTAGCCACCGCAGCGAAAACCTCTCTGCAGAGGTCGTGCTACGGAATGCCCGGGTATATGATATGAAAACTATGAATTTCTTTAACAAACGTTAACAATGATTTATGACTAAAAAGCGGTTCCCTACCGACGAACATTGCAGGGTGTAAAGGTATATGTTGTCGGTAGGGTAATGGAAAGTGTTGTCTTCTAACAGTGTCTAATTGTTTACATTGGATTAAAATGTGAAGAACCGTTAATGCCTCACCACATTTATCACACAATGGTGGATCACCACCGGACAAAAGATGTGTGTGTGTCGTGTGTGTGTGTCCTATCCTGAGTCTTGTTAGTGTTACCTCTGTTAGACGTGATTTTGATACTGGCAGCCAATGACCAAGGTGTGGCTTGATAACGTTTAGCTTGTTTTGTGTGTGTCTGTCCCACTTGCTCTGCCAGTAGTCCCTGAGACGGCTTAAGATCAAGGGCTGGAATTGATATGGGTTTAGTGGCGGTGCCCTCGTGGACGGATGCAGCAAGCTGACCCGCCATCACGTTGCCTTGAATCTCACGGTGCCCCAACAACATGTTGGTTGAGTATGTAGAGTGTGCATAAAATGGAGTAAAGTGAAACGAGGACAGGGTTTTTTTGTTTTTTAAGACTGTGCAGAGCCGTTACCACACTGAGGGAGTCTGTGTAAATTACTGCTTTTGGTATTTGTAATTGTTTGATGTGTTTACCTGCCACAAGTATCGCATAAGCTTCCGCTGTGAAGATACTTGTGCCTGGATGTAGAGGGCCAGCATCCGAAAAGGAAGGGCCAACAGCAGCGTAGGACACACAGGAGTTAGACTTACTCTACCCAAGACTCCTCTACCCAAGTGCTTGCCTATTTCGGTTCATAAAGAAGCTTGAAGACTTGTTCACAAGAAAAGCAGCCCGTGAACAACTCCATGGAGACAGCATTTTAGATGTGCTGACCATTGTTGAAGCAAGGCTTTGGCAAGAGTTTGGGTGCCCAAGCCATGTCTTAATGCTCTCTCAAAAAAAAATACAATTCTATGTTGTTACACGACTTCATTTTTACATTAAAGGGCTAAATACAGACAGAGCAGGCAAACGCCAGAAAGCAAAGCACTTAAAGATAAGCCCCTGCTGTTAAATATTTTTTCCTAGCTTTAGAAGATTTTTAAAAATTTAATATTGTTCTTGTGTGGATTTTACAAGTGTAGGTTGAAATTTATGTATGAATCCTTTCTGAATATTCTTTTTCTGTGTCACTGACCCAAATACAAGAGAATGCCAGATTTGAAAAACAAGCAAAATAGTATGTTGCCACTCGCCACGCATACTATAGCAATAAACCCTTGACTAAGTGGCAACTCTGCTTAATTCAATTGTGAATGGTGACTTTGGTCCTTGGCGTACCATCAACAGAGCGATTAATATGATCTATGAGAACATCTGTAGATCTCTATAAAAATGCACGTTATTTGAATGGAAATGTGTCTATTATTTGTCATTTTCAGTATTTCTTCTGATTCAGTGTCTTTACTTATTGTGTGAACAATATGTCCTGAGTGTTCATGTGTTTTTGTGAACTTTTTTATGCCAAGTGTGCTATTGAAAATATTTAGCATCTCTTTGTGATTATTTGTAGTTGTGAATATTTTTCTAGCATCTATTGGGCTGTTTTAGGAGACATGCTCTTTGTCGCACACGCTGATAAGTACATAATGGGGCAAGGCCCTCTTCAACCTATTTCAGCCTTTTCCATCTGCTTTCACTTTGAGAAAAAAAAAATGAAAGTGATTGATATGCATGTCTTTTGTGGAGTACGGTCATTCTGCTGCCCCACCAAATAAACTTTTAACTTATTCCCGTGAACGATTGTTGTCTATATTTTTTTCCACACCTTCATTACAAGTTCACTTTTATTTATTGGGCATGATTAAGGATAGGTCTTTCCTTCTGTGCACTACCACACATTTCCTTGTACTTTTCAGGAGAATATATCAGCTGAGAGCACGTAAGGTGCTTAAGTTTGTAGTAATATTGTTTTATTTAGTGAGAGTACGACTTCACTAAAGTTACTATTGATTACAAACGCTAGCATATTGGTGGAGAAATGTGAGCCGCTTATATGCCACTCTGCGACTTATTAAATCAGTGATCATGAAAACATTAGTCTCTTTTATCTAAAGGCAATCGATGTCAGTGCACGTTAAAATTTCCGGAGTCCTCCACTACGCCGTGCTTCATAAGCAGAAAGTGGTTTCATAAATCAATTATCTAAAGGCAATAAAACTGCGAGAGCGCAATACAAAACTGGCTGTTTACAGCGTATATTGCATCCCGCTGATGACGCGCTCATGTTTAGCAATACTTCATGCACCAGGACGACGGCCAAAGCAAGAATATGCTCAGGCAAAAGAAGAAAAGCAACGAAAATGGCTATGAACAGGGGTTGCACAAGAGTAGTTTGTGCTTGAAGCGCTGGCAAACTAACCTTCGCGCTGCGTTGGCCGAGAGCAGCAACGCGTCGCTTCCATTGCAGGTGGTGGTGGCGGCATCTACCAGGTGAGACAAAGTGCGTCAGTGCACGGCCTCCAGTCAGCCCACTACCCCTTTCTAGAACACTTTAGCCGCGTCCGGCTTCTCAAGCACATGCAAGCCACATGTTGCCAGACAGCATCGCACTTTCGGCTAGACACCGCTATATAAGACGAGGGGCGACTTTAGCTTATTATTTTATTGAAAATAATCTATTAAAAATAAATGGGTGGGCTCGTCAGCTGCGCCATGGTCCAGCGGGTAACACCGTTTGCGTTTATCGCGCAGGTCTTTGCGGCAATCAGCCTCGTCGACGCCTGCGGCAATGCGACATGCGCTTTGCACACTGGAAGCCCCGGAAATTCAGGAGCCAGTGCGCATACGCCGTCTGCCGGATGCTCACTGTATCTGGGAGCACCAGACCGAACAGCTGGACCGAAAGATGGCGCCTTCATCATTTCTACCGAGAGACTCTTGGAACCTACGGCATCTCCAGGATCATCAACATCAGCCTTTCCATCGCCTGCCTATAAAGGACCACACCCTGCAAGCGGCGCTTTGAGGGCTCGTCAGCTGCGCCTTGGTCCAGCGGGTAACACCGCTTGCGTTTATCGCGCCGGTACGCCATTACGATTCTCTTATTGCTAAGAAGACTAGCAATTGTTGCCTGGTGCAGTTGCCGAGCCCCCGCTGCCTAGCGTTGTTATTTTGTGATTGTGTGAACATTGTGCATGAGCTGCTGTTGCTGTCAGGCGACATAGAGGAAAACCCAGGTCCAACCACACGTAGCTCTACTACCCAGAGTGACCAGACGATGTATGCTTTGCTAACAACCTTAGAAGCCAGCCAGGCCACCATCCTGGCCGAACTGAAGGCTATCAATACTCGCCTGATTAGCACGGAACAGACCCTTGCCGATTTGGTTGCGCGGATTGCGCAGACGGAAGACTAGTGCAAATTGCTACCCGATATGCGATCTGATGTAGACGTTCTACTCCGCTCATCCGCCCAGACATCAGATAGCATCGCCGGCATTGAGGAAAGGTTGAATGACCCAGAGGATAGGTTGCGTCGCTGCAACCTTGTCTTCTATGGCATCAGTGAAGGCGAGTCTGAATCCTGGAACGATAGCGAAAAACTGGTCACAGATATTTGCAATAAAAATTTGAAGATAGCACTCGGACCTAAAGATATTCACAGAGCACATCGTATCGGCAAAGTTGCTCGTGACAAAAAACGCCCCATTATTGTTCATTTCTCTTCTTTTAAGACTAAAGATGATAGTTTATCTAAGGCCTTCAAGCTCAAGGGCACAACAGTCAGTATCTCTGAGGATTTCTGAGCTGCCACTCGTTCAATACATCGCGAGCTCGTTCGTTTCGCCCGAGAACAGAAGGTTCCTTTCAAGCTACGCTACAAAAAATTAATAATCGACAAGAAAACTTACTACTATGACACAGCTGATAAGGCGGTTAAAGAAAGAACAGCACGGGCGAGCTAGCAAGAAAATATTATAACGGAGCCTTGTCTTTCCAAATCACACCCCTGCAACACACCGAAACGTGCGTCGCTACGCCCTAACGACGTCACATACTCGATTCTTTGCACTAACACTCGCAGTATAATTCCAAAGCGTGAAGAAGTATCCGCCGTCATTCAATCATGTGATTGTGATATTGTCGTTCTTAGCAAACATGGCTTTCACCGCATATTTCTGACGCGGAAGTTGCTCCGTACATGCCTGGATTTGCCTTTTATCGCCGTGATCGTTTGTAAGCCGAGGTGGTGGAGTTCTTATTGGAATAAAGAATTCGATTATTCACTTTAAAATAGAACACGAGAGCCCCCTAGAGATAATGTACGTAGCATGTCGAACGCTATCAGGACTTACCATAATTGGAGCGTGCTATCGCCCCCCACAACCAGACGCCGATTTTCGCAGGCTCCTTAACGACTCTCTCGACTTCATAAGCAAAAAGTATCCCCTAGCTAACCTAATAATATGCGGTGATTTTAACTACCCTACCATTGATTGGAGTGACCAATATCGCGTAACTAACGGTGAACCTGGCCAGTTCTTAAGCATCCTACAGGATTTTCAATTAACACAAATCATAACCCAAGCTACCAGACAGACCACAAATACCGCAAACATTCTTGACCTAATTCTAACGTCCGACCCAAGCGGTATCCAGTCAGTACATTACCTTAAGAAAATAAGTGATCATAAAGTTATCCTAGCGTTTTTTCACTCAGTACTTCAGACAGAAAAACCAGTAGCAAAACGAATAAGACATTATGACAAGGGAAATTACGAAAAAATCACGGCTGAGCAACAAAGCTTCATGTTTTCTTTTGAAGAAGGTTTCCATGACCGCTCTGTAGATCACCACTGAAACTTGCTTTCGGAGAAAATTCAAGAATTAACTGATAAATATGTTCCAACGGTAAAAATTAAAAGCAAACAATCGGCACCGTGATTTTCTGGCTCAATTAGCAAACAAATACGCAGAAAGAAGCGACTGTTTAGAAAAGCCAAAGCCAGAAATAGTCCGTCCGCATGGCAGGCGTATCAAGGCTCAGTAAAGAAGCTAACGAAAACAATTTGTATTGCCAAGCGAAATTTTTTTGAGACAACATTGCCTAATATGCTACAAACTAATCCAAAACAATTTTGGAAAGCTATAAACCCATCTCCTGCCACCCCAATAAGATTGTATAACGATCAAAACGTAGAACTTAGCGATAGTGAGACAGCCACAGTACTCAACGTGGCGTTCTCCTCGGTTTTCACGATGATGATGATGATGATATGGTGTTTTTTGGCGCAAGGGCCATTTGATGGCCAAAGAGCGCCAGTTCATGGACAAGAGAATGTGGACAATGATTGTGATTAGCGGCTGTATAAGGGCCATCAAATTCCTCGCGGTAAGGCGGGTAAGAACATACAGGTAATAAAATGCATGACCATGCCGTGAAAGGTGTGTGTGGTGCGAATAGATGAACAAAAGTTGGTGATAATAAAAACAATGGTGGATCATGTATGGCATTAGCACAAGTGCCTCACTCGTTCATACCCTTGCGTCCGAGGGACCGTGAGGCAAGTGCTTTCTTGTGTAGCCACCGCAGCGAAAACCTCTCATGCAGAGGTCGTGCTACGGAATGCCCGCGTATATGATATGAAAACTATGAATTTCTTTAACAAACGGTAAGCAATGATTTATAACTAAAAAGCGGTTCTCCTACCGACGAACATTGCAGGGTGTAAAGGTATATGTTGTCGGTAGGGATAATGGAAAGTGTTGTCTTCTTAACAGTGTCTAATTGTTTACATTGGATTAAAATGTGAAGAACCGTTAATGCCTCACCACATTTATCACACAATGGTGGATCACCACCGGACAAAAGATGTGTGTGTGTCGTGTATGTGTGTCCTATCCCGAGTCTTGTTAGTGTTACCTCTGTTAGACGTGATTTTGATACTGGCAGCCAATGACCAAGGTGTGGCTTAATAATGTGTAGTTGTTTTGTGTGTGTGTATCCCACTTGCTCTGCCAGTAGTCCCCGAGATTTCGTTTGAGAGAGGGTTTAAGATCAAGGGTCGGGATCAATATGGGTGTAGGGGCAGTGCACTTGTGGACGGATGCAGCGAGCTGATTCGCCCTCACGTTGCCTTCGATCTCACGGTGCCCTGGCACCCTGCACACTACAACATGTTGTTTGAGTGTGTAGAGCGTGCACAAAGTGGAGTAAAGTGAGACAAGGACCGGGTTTTTTTGTTTTTAAGACAGTGCAAGAGCCGTTACCACACAGAGGGAGTCTGTGTAAATTACTGCTTTTGGTATTTGTAATTGTTTGATGTGTTTAGCTGCCACAAGTATCGCATAAGCTTCCGCTGTGAAGATACTTGTGCCTGGATGTAGAGGGCCAGCATCCGAAAAGGAAGGGCCAACAGCAGCGTAGGACACACAGGAGTTAGACTTACTCTACCCAAGACTCCTCTACCCAAGTGCTTGCCTATTTCGGTTCATAAAGAAGCTTGAAGACTTGTTCACAAGAAAGCAGCCCGTGAACAACTCCATGGAGACAGCATTTTAGATGTGCTGACCATTGTTGAAGCAAGGCTTTGGCAAGAGTTTGGGTGCCCAAGCCATGTCTTAATGCTCTCTCAAAAAAAAATACAATTCTATGTTGTTACACGACTTCATTTTTACATTAAAGGGCTAAATACAGACAGAGCAGGCAAACGCCAGAAAGCAAAGCACTTAAAGATAAGCCCCTGCTGTTAAATATTTTTTCCTAGCTTTAGAAGATTTTTAAAAATTTAATATTGTTCTTGTGTGGATTTTACAAGTGTAGGTTGAAATTTATGTATGAATCCTTTCTGAATATTCTTTTTCTGTGTCACTGACCCAAATACAAGAGAATGCCAGATTTGAAAAACAAGCAAAATAGTATGTTGCCACTCGCCACGCATACTATAGCAATAAACCCTTGACTAAGTGGCAACTCTGCTTAATTCAATTGTGAATGGTGACTTTGGTCCTTGGCGTACCATCAACAGAGCGATTAATATGATCTATGAGAACATCTGTAGATCTCTATAAAAATGCACGTTATTTGAATGGAAATGTGTCTATTATTTGTCATTTTCAGTATTTCTTCTGATTCAGTGTCTTTACTTATTGTGTGAACAATATGTCCTGAGTGTTCATGTGTTTTTGTGAACTTTTTTATGCCAAGTGTGCTATTGAAAATATTTAGCATCTCTTTGTGATTATTTGTAGTTGTGAATATTTTTCTAGCATCTATTGGGCTGTTTTAGGAGACATGCTCTTTGTCGCACACGCTGATAAGTACATAATGGGGCAAGGCCCTCTTCAACCTATTTCAGCCTTTTCCATCTGCTTTCACTTTGAGAAAAAAAAAATGAAAGTGATTGATATGCATGTCTTTTGTGGAGTACGGTCATTCTGCTGCCCCACCAAATAAACTTTTAACTTATTCCCGTGAACGATTGTTGTCTATATTTTTTTCCACACCTTCATTACAAGTTCACTTTTATTTATTGGGCATGATTAAGGATAGGTCTTTCCTTCTGTGCACTACCACACATTTCCTTGTACTTTTCAGGAGAATATATCAGCTGAGAGCACGTAAGGTGCTTAAGTTTGTAGTAATATTGTTTTATTTAGTGAGAGTACGACTTCACTAAAGTTACTATTGATTACAAACGCTAGCATATTGGTGGAGAAATGTGAGCCGCTTATATGCCACTCTGCGACTTATTAAATCAGTGATCATGAAAACATTAGTCTCTTTTATCTAAAGGCAATCGATGTCAGTGCACGTTAAAATTTCCGGAGTCCTCCACTACGCCGTGCTTCATAAGCAGAAAGTGGTTTCATAAATCAATTATCTAAAGGCAATAAAACTGCGAGAGCGCAATACAAAACTGGCTGTTTACAGCGTATATTGCATCCCGCTGATGACGCGCTCATGTTTAGCAATACTTCATGCACCAGGACGACGGCCAAAGCAAGAATATGCTCAGGCAAAAGAAGAAAAGCAACGAAAATGGCTATGAACAGGGGTTGCACAAGAGTAGTTTGTGCTTGAAGCGCTGGC